AGGGCAGACCCAGGAGCCCAGTGTGAGAGCCTAAGAGCCATGATGACTCATTCCCAGGTCAAAGTAAGGGAGAGCCAAATCAAGGAATTTCCAATGTCTGTCCAGTGGAGCTCCAGTTTTTCTATAGATCACTGCTCTATTTGCCTCCCATCTCCCCCTCTTTTGACCAGGAATGACTCTCGTGCTATCCTAGGCCTATGTCACCATTGTATGTTGGGTTTGTGTCTGGTAGATAACTTGTCTCTTCCACCCACAGGTCTTCATATGGAGAACTAAGGGCACCCAAGGAGCTGTATGTAAGGAACTTCACCCAAGGAGACTCATCCACGTCTGGGCCTGATTTAAGTGACAATCTTCTGGACCTAATGCTGATGCCATATTCCAGTGAGATTTGTGGAAGCTTTTGGAGGGGATGGGTGTATCTTTTTTCTCTCCATTTTTTAATCTTGCATTTTTACCTTTTGACTCCCTTCACCCTTGAGTGCATTTTAGAAGACCGTATTTTGAATGAGGGAGAAATGTTAATAATTTGTGCCAAGGAGGAACTGTGGTGGTTCTGTAGCTCTTCCTTCAAGATATGGAGACCCATCCCTCCCTCTGAGTGTGGGCTGGCCCTAGCGACTACCTTCTATTGAAGTGTGTGTGACTTCACAGACTAGATCATGAAAGGCACTGTGACTTCCTCCTCAGTCTCTCTTGGATCAGTCTCTCTGGGGAAGTTAGCTCCCACATCATGAAGTAAGCCCCACATAGAGAGAAACTGAGGCCTCATCCCGGCAACTGTGTGTGTGAGCCATCTTGGAACTGGACCACAGTTGTCAAGCTTTCCGATGACTCCATTTCTTGCTGACGTCCTGACTGCAGTGCATGAGAGATTCTGAATCATGAACACTAGTTAAGATGTTGCCAAATTTCTGACTCCCCGCTTCAGACTTATTTTTGAGATAATAAATACATCATTTGTTGTTTTACTCTACTAAGTTTTTAGGTAACTTAAGGCACAGCATCAAATGAGTTGGGAGGAAAACGACAAGACTTTGTTGTTGTTGTTGTTGTAAGCCAAGGGAAAAAAGCATTTCAGGAAGTGAGGAGTGGTGAGTCATTTCCAAAGCCACTCATCTTTCCAATATGATGAGTTTTGAGGCTTGACCTCTGGAGTTAGCAATGTGGAAGTGACTGGAGACGGGGGCAAGAGGTTTCAGGGAGTGGGTCAAAGTCCTGATTGGAGTTTAAGAGACGAGAGAGAGAGATATTGGGGACTGAGAATGTATCTACTCCTTTTATGGGTTTTGTCATAAAGGGCAATAGGATGTGGGGCAGTATGTGGAGGTGCTGTGGGGTCAAGAGAGAGTTTTTAATACATCATAGCCTTTTACATTCTGATTGTCATGACACATGAGAGGGGGTGAACTTCTGGAGTAATTTTCTTAAGTAGACAAGAGAAGATGGGATGGGTTCCTATGTGAAGAGTTCAGTCTGCAATGGGAGCAAGGAAAAGAGAGTGCACGTGGGGCACAGAAGGGGGATAATTGATGGGTGCAATTGTACCAAAAAGGCCTCATTGTTTTCAGTGAGTTAAGGTGCAAGGACACCAGCTGAGGGTGAGGAGAGAGCACTGGAATGTGGGGGGCCAGAGGGCGGTGTGAACAAGAGGTCTAGAATGGAGACCACTTGTGTAAGGGAGAGACTTTTCAAGGTAGGTTGCTTTTCTCCAGCTGTGTTCAGCTTTAGGACAAGATGCAGGATGGAGCAATGGAAAGCCGAATACAATCAGGGCTGGAGTTGTGCCAGGAGAGTTCAATGAAAGCAGAGGGGGAAAAGGAATTGAAACTGTATTCCAAAGAGCAGTTGTAAGGGTGGGCCATGGAAGCCAAGGAAAAGGAAAGCATGAGGGCAGTGAAGGAGAGGGTCAAGATGGCAAGACTAGTGGACTAGGGATCCCAGTGGGATTGAAGGGGCACTGTGATCAGGTGAGTAGGCTTGAGCTAGAGAGACAGGTGGTGGCTGGAAGGTGGGTGCTCTGAGTTAAGACCAAGGAGTGGAGCCATTACTCCTGTTGACCATCTGAATGGGTGGCCGAGGCAGGAAGGTGATGAAATCATTGTGGGAGAGGAGGTCAGGAACTGGGAGGCCAGGGATTTGGGAGGATGGTCCATAAGTCCAAGTGGGTTCCAGCTCACCAAGGATGATGACAGGAACCGTGGGAGTAACCATAAGCCAGCAGTTAAGGACAATGAGAAGAAGGAGGGCGACTCCAAATAGTATAGGAGATGTCACAATAATGTGGTCTATGGTATAGTCTGATGGCAGGAAATAAATTGTGGGGCTGCTTTAGGTAGGGTAAGAAGATAGGAAGTGGCAATGAGGAGTGAAGAGGACACCCTGCCCACGTCAGGCCTAGTGGTGAAGGAGAGTGAAATGTCACCCAACTACAGAGAGAGCAGTGTTCTCAGAGGAAAGGCAAATTTCTGTGAACATAGGAAGGTGACCTACAGAGAAGTTGAGCTCATGAGTGCTCATATTTCAGAGGGAAGAGCGAAAAGATTGATGGATTTGGGAAAGAGTGGGAAATGGGCTCACTTGATGAATTCATAAGGTCTTATTATGCATGATCCTGGGTGAAGAGGGAGGACCAGGGAGCCCTGGGCTCTTGTGACTGGAATAAACAGGGAGAAAGGAACGAAGCCACAGGTCTGGGGGTCCCAGCACTGGCTGTGGGGGGTGGGGTGGAGAAGGGGCTGGGAATCTTTATAGGAGCAAGTGGAGATTGGGGGTCTCGCTCAGTCCTGCCCATGGAAGTGGGAGTGGGGACAGATGGTTTGATGGAAAATCTGAGGCCTCTCTGTTCCCACCAGGGAGGTGTGGGATTTGTGTGAGGGAAGTGGTAGTAAATGGGTAAAAATTATATAAATCCATCTTCGGGGATAGAGAGAAAGAGCTCCAGGGGCATCTTAAAGCTGGGTAACAATAGGATGACTTTAATGACCAGAGAAAAGGGGGTAGGAGAAATAAGAAGTGAATCCTTTTTACCTTAGAATCCCAGAAACCCCTAGAAATTGGAGGCGTGCGTAGTTCAGGACACAGACTACAAGTGGGGGGCTCGGTTGAGAAGTGGTCAGATTCGTATCTTCTCTGCCTCCCCTGAGACAGAGCGAGTAGGTCAAGTGCCCACATCCTTTCTCCTTCCGCTCTTCACACCCTGCAGACAACCTGCAGGTTAGTCTCTGATGAGGTTTGAGTCAGAGATTCCTACTCAGGGAACCTGGCATGGCAGAGAGGGAAAGCATCTTCCACCTGGCGCCCAAGTGAGTGAAAACAGATGCTGGGCAGAGATGCCCCTTTGCTTTGCTACAGTTGGTGCCTAGAACCAAGCTTTCACCCCCAGGAGGACAGTTCAAATAGCCTTTTTGGAGAAACTGAAACCTCAAAGAGAAAAAAATGCAGCCATGCTTGTCTTAGTCCACTTGGGTTGCTGTAACAAAAATACCACAGACTCGGTGGCTTATGTAACATTTATTTCTCACAGTTCTGGAGACTGGGAAGTCCAAGACCAAGTTGCCAGTGGAACTGGTTGTTTGGCGAGACCTCCCTGATTCATAGAGGTCTGTCCACTAGCTGCGTCCTCACAGGGTGGAAGGAGCTAGAGAACGCTGTAGGGTCTTTTTTATAAGGGCACCATCCCCTCCAGTCACCTCCAAGGCCCCCCCTACAAATACCATTATTGGGGGGGGTTGGTTAGGATTTCAACATGTGAATGGAGATGGGGCAGGGGGAGACTGTACCAGTACAGACTGTAACAGTCTGTATCAATGCCCTTGCCAAATCAATGTAGCGTCCACAAATCTCTGTAATACACAGGGAGCCTCCAAATTTTTAACTCCTGAAGGGCTGCCAAGAAGCAGGAGAGTTTTCCAGAAAGTTCTGAGGAAAGACAGAAGTCAATGAAAGGAGAACACAGAAGATACAAAAAGGTATTTGGAAGAAACAGAAGATACACAAAGCTTAAAAACAAACAAATAAACCCTCAAAAGTGAAAACTTTTATATTGCCTGAGAAAAAAATGACATCCCCAAAGAAAACATGCAGGCTGTAAAGAACATTCAGAGAACAATCGGACCATTTAGAAATATTAAGCTGTAGTAGCATAAATAGTAAATTTTGAATAGAAGAACTGGAATGTAACCTTGAGGAACTTTCCCAGAAAGTAGGAATAAAGAAAAATAGATGAAGAACAGGAGGGAAAAGAAAGTTTCAGTCTGGAAAGTCTGACATGGAGACAGAAGTGTCAGAGAGACAGTAGCTCTAGGAGGGCAGTGCCTGGGGTCAGCCCAGGCTGGTTTCAGGTGTGGAGACTCCTGCTTAGTTTGTGCAAGAAAAGGGACGGTCACTGCTCTCCGGAGCCTGCAGCCCTCTTGGTGGCAGTGAGGGCAGCATGAAGCGGGGTGTGTGTGTGGGGGGGGGTGTGGGGTGTGTGCACGGTGACATGGTGACAAGGGGAGGCTGAACCTGGAAGAACTTGAGGCCCCAATCATGACACTGGACTCAATCTCCCATGCAGTAAAAATGCACGGGGTGTTTGAGAAGGGATGGATAAGGGGGAGCAATCCAGGAGGTGGAGACCAAAGGCAGGACACCAGTTAGGTGATTGTCAGACTGGCCAGGTACAAGTGCCCTGGGGTGGGGATTTGCAAAGACGGAGGAAGAGGATGGAGAGGCAGCAACAACAGAAAGAAGCAGAACAGAGCAGCTGGGCAGAGTGTGGCTGAGCAAATGAAGATGGGGAGAGAAATGTTGGGGGTGACCTGGGATCTTGGCTGAGCTGTAGGGCTACAGATAGGAAAGGAAGAGGGAGGGGAAGAAGGGGAAGGGGGGAGGAGGATGGAGCCGGGGGATGAGGAGGAGGACTAGGGGAGGAGAGAGTGGGAAGAGGAGTCAGAGTCGCCCACAGTGCTGGCTCGGGTTTGGGGGACAGCTGCTGCACTGGCCTTCAGCTCCCATACCCGGATGGTGCTGGCCCAGAAGCCAGTTGCGTGTGAGCAACTGGTGGGCCTGGATCTTGGGAGGAGGCAATGCTGGGAAATCCTCAGCACTGGAGTGAGGGGTGTAGCCAGGGGTCTTAGAGCAAGTTCTGGGGAACTTCTGCCTTTTCTTTGCAGTGAACAAAGGGTTCAGAGTCCAGGAAGGAGCTCCCTGGGGGCCTGGGGAAGACTGGCCATCCTTGGATCCCGAAGCCTGGAGTCTGGGTGGAGCTGGACGCATCAGAGACTTCCCTCTATGTTGCACGTGTGGACTCCTTAAAGCTCTGAGATGGGGGGGGGGAATATAGGAAGTGACTCAAATCCTCTCTTTGACCCAGTCACCCTGTCCCCCACATTTGGTCCCTCCTTCAGCAAGCCTGACCCCAGGAACTCTTGGTCTTGCTTTCTTTCCCCCAGCCCCCCCACCCCACCTTCACCTTCCTGCCTTCCCCTTTCCCCAGGGCACAACTCTCCCTCCTGCACATAGCCTTTCTCCCTCACCACTTGGGAAGGGGCTGGGCCCTGGGAGGGTGCCCTGGCCTGGTGGCTGTCCTTCCTGGAAGGACAGGGAGTGGGAAGTTGAATACAGGTCAGTGATCCAGAAGGAGGGATGAATCAGAGCAGGAGAGGAGCAGGGGAAGGAAAGGAGGAGAAGGAGAAGAGGCAAGGGAGAAACAGACTGAGAGATGTGGACAAGGCACCCAAGTTTGAGAAGGACATAGGGGAGGGCTGCTAGTGAGCACACACGATGGATGGAGCCCAGGAGGGACTCATCTGGACAGCCCTGTTGGGTATAATTTTTCCTGCTTCTGTGGTCTCTCGCTGATTCCCTGTCTGACCATGGGTCTGGGACAGAAGCCGTTCTGGGCTCCATTTTCCCCCCAAGCCCAACCAAACCTACTCACTGAACAGTCAGGACTGTTAGCGCCAGACCCTTGGCCACAAGCAGCACACAGAGCACGGGGGCCAGAGCGCTGGGGGCTGCAGGGTGAGAGTGGAGGGTGGAGTTTTGTTGCCTAGAGGACAGGGAACAAGAAGGGAAGAGGAGTGGGTTGGGGTGGTGGGCCCCTGAGCCAGGGCCGTCGGGGTGAGGATCCCACCCTGAACTCACGGTGAAAGGGTGGTGACGGCAGAGGAGGCCCTGGGGGCCTCCTTGGCTCTTCCAGTTGGGGGCACAGAGCTCTGGGTCGGTGATGAGACCAGCTCAGCAGAAGCCCGGATGGCCTGTGTGGAGGCAGGAGCTGTCGGAGAGAGAGAGAAAGACTCCTCGTTAGCTGGTGGGACAGCACATCAGTTCTGGACCGCAGGAAAGCCAGTCAACCCTGATAAAAAACAAGTCGTGGGGTTGGGCCCAGGCTGTGAAGTCCTCTGGTTCAAGACTAGACAGAGCTGTGGCTCAGGCTCTACACAGGGCCTGTGGTGGTATTCCTGGGTCTGGAAAGAGCACTGGAAGAGGAGTCAGGAGGCCTGGAATTCCGTCTAAGGGTTTCTACATGGCTGGAAGGGCACTCTCTAGCTTTCAGCCTCCCCAAGTGTGGAAACAGTCACTGTCTTTAAGTGGCTCTCAACTCTGGCATCTGTTCTCTTGCTCATACTTCTGGGACTGTTAGGGGATGGGGTCCCTCGTGGGGAATTTTAAGGTTGCTTTCCCACCCCTGTCCTTCCCAGTTTTGGCAGCAGAACCCTAGGCCCCTCCGCAGGCCCCACTGCCTCAATGACCTGGGTAAATACCTTTTATGGGGCCCCCTCTTAATTCTGAAACTTTGTGAGGTATCTGTCCCCCCATCCCCACTTGCCTTGCCTTTCCAGAAAGACCCCAGACCTACCAGTGCTAAGAGCTCTTGATGGAGGCTGGTGGAAGGTCACCTCTGGAAAGGTGATGGGAGCTATTAAGGAGACAAGAGGACAATGACTATTGGGGGTGGCTGAGGCCCTGAAGAGAAAGAGGTGGTGTCTGCCCCAATGCTGTGACAGGAAATGGAGACTGTCAGGGTCCTCAGCTAGGTCTGCACACCCACCCAGGGCCTATGAGGGGAGCAGTCTCCCCCAAGAGGAGGAAAAGAGAGACGCAGGGGCTGAGGGGACAGGGAGGAGAGGGTGCCTGGTGTTGGGACACCCCATGACAGGGGACTTCCCTGGAGAGAGTCCCAGGCCAATGGACAAGGGGACATGACGGTGAGGCTGCCCGGAGGGATGACCTGGAGCAACCTCTATGCCCAACCAGAGGAGGTCCTCAGGACCCTCAGGGAAAAGAAAAGTCTAGTCCTGAGCTACAGTGTGTGGTCTATGGGCTGGTGCTTGTCCACAGATTGTTTATAACCTGCCCGTACAAAGTGAATACAGAAATTGGGAGTTAGGATCTTGAAATTCGACATCAATTTGACATTGCCCCAAGGTCCATGCATGTGACTGGTAAACAGGTCTGGTGGAACAGGATATGGACCAGTTTGGTCATTGTCACCCAGTCATGGAAGTCTCCATGGGGGCAAGCTACCGAGCAGGACCATGATACTTGAACAGTAGTTGGTTGACTCTAACCCAAAATTGTGTAAACACCTGAAAAAATTATTTTATAGTTTGTTATTTTTATAATCATTGAAAATTTTAATCTATCCTTGTTAAAAAAATTTAGAGTTTATCATGATTCGCTAAGGTGGAGGAGTGATTAGCTTATTCAAGGACTCACAAACAGCAAAACAGAAGTCCCTAAGCTTTTTTTTTTTTTTTAAAGATTTTATTTATCTGTTTGACAGAGAGAGATCACAAGTAGGCAGAGAGGCAGGCAGAGAGAGAGAGGGAAGCAAGCTCCCTGTCGAGCAGAGAGCCCGATGCAGGGCTCGATCCTAGGACTCTGACATCATGACCTGAGCTGAAGGCAGAGGCTTAATCCTCTGAGCCACTCAGGCGCACTGTCCTTGAGCTTTATGTCAAGAAAAGCCATCTCTTTTCTGAATGTCGCAGTAATAACAAACCAAATGATGATTGTGGAAGTAATTCCAAAGATGCACTGGTTTTATTTGAAAAGGTTATCCGTCACCGGGATAGGCAGAACAATGTCTGTGTCCTAATACCAGGAACCTGTGAATGTCACCCTCTGTGGCCAAATGGACTTTAAAGATGCCATTAAGGTCAAAGATCTTGGGGTGAGGCGCCTGGGTGGCTCAGTCGTTAAGTGTCTGCCTTCGGCTCAGGTCATGATCCCAGAGTCCTGGGATGGAGCCCTGCATCGGGCTACCGCTTCTCCCTCTCCCACTCCCCCTGCTTGTATTCCCTCTCTTGCTGTCTCTTTCTGTCAAATAAACGAATAAAATAAAAATTAAAAAAATACAGGAAAATTTAAAAAAAAGAACTTGGGGGTGGAGAGAGATTCTGGGTGGACCCCATCTAATGACAGTATTTAATAACAAGGATTGAGGGCACCTAGGTGGCTCAGTTGGTTAAGCCTCTGCCTTCATCTTGGGTTGTGATCCCAGGGCCCTGGAATCGAACCCCGAGTCTGGCTCCCTGCTTGGCAGGAATCCTGATTTTCTCTCTCCCTCTTCTGTTCCCCCTGCTTATGCTCTCTCTCTCTGTCAAATAAATGGATGAAATTTAAAAACAAAACAAAACAAAATAAAAAACCAGAATGTGTTTCCCAGTTGTAGTCAGAGAGAAATGCAGCTGGGAAAGGGCCTCTGGCTTTGAGGACGGACAAAGGGGGCCACAGGCCAAAGAATGTGGCAGCCTTTAGAAGCTGCAAAAGCTGAAAAGTACCTAGTCTGCAAGAGAACAAGACATCGGTCCTATCGCTACAAGGAAGAGAATTCTACCCAAGACCTGAATAAGCAAGAAGTGGATTCTATCCAAAAGCCTTCAGGAAGGAGTACAGCCTCTGACGCCTTGATTTGAGCTCAGTGAGACCCCTTCCAGACTTCTGATCCGTAGAACTGTAAAACTACAAGTTTGCGCGGTTTTAAGCCACTGCCTTTGTGGAGATTTGTGCCGACAGCCATGGGAAGCGATGACACTCGCCTTTGGCACGAGTTTTGTAGCTATAATGAATGGTGAAGTACCAAACCCAGTGAGTTAGCTATTGAGATGTGCTGGCTGATGAACAAATACATCATGAAAACGAGTGACATTTACACGGAAAACATAAAACCACAAATTCAAAATAAACTTTTTTAAAAAAGAGGATTGAATTATAAATTTCTTTTTTTTTTGAATTACAAATTTCTTAAAAGGTCTTCTTTTCACTGTACATGCAATTTTGAACAGGATGAGAGGAAGTCATTCTCCTGTCTCGTTTTGCTTCATTGTCAGAAACACAACTATCCCTGAACTGAATAGAGCCATGAAGGGTTGTATTATTGACCAGGGGTCTGGGGCTCCAGGTTTATGCAGGAATATGTTCTGGTGGCTGTAGCTGCTCGGGTGGGAGGACATTCTGGAATGGTCGTTCAGATTAAGAAGGCGTGCTATGAGAAAGTACCGGCTGACCCACACTGTGCACTTCCCAAAGTGGTAAAACTTGTGAATTACATAAAGATGAATGCGTTAAACTACTGAGTATTTACCCTAAAGATACAAACCTAGTGATCTGAAGGGGCATGTGCACCCGAATGTTTATAGCAGCAATGTCCACAATAGTCAAACTATGGAAAGAACCTAGATGTCCATCAACAGATGAATGGATAAAGAAGATGTGGTACACACACACACACACACACACACACACACACACACACACATACACACACTGGAATACTATGCAGCCATCAAAAGAAATGAAAACTTGCCATTTGCAACAACACGGATGGAACTGGAGGGTATTATGCTGAGCGAAATAAATCAATCAGAGAAAGACAATTATCATATAATCTCCCCGATATGAGGAATTTGAGAGGCAGGGCGGGAGGTTTGGGGGATCGGGAAGGTAAAAATGAAACAAGTAGGGATTGGGAGGAGACAAACCATAACAAACTCTTAATTTCACAAAACAAACTGAGGGTTGCTGGGACTTGGTCGGGGGTAGAGATAGAGTGGCTGGGTGATGGACATTGGGGAGGGTATGTGCTATGGTGAGTGCTGTGAAATATGTAAGCCTGACGATTCACAGACCTATACCCCTGGAGCTAATAATACATTATATGTTAATAAAGATAATTAAATAAAGATGAGTGTATTGAATTTGAAATCATTCTCTTTATTCTGTGATAATGTGCAAACCCTGCACGGTTGTTATTGTGTGCCAAGTTAATAGAGATCACCTAGAGGGAGAGTTCTGTTGAAAATGTATGATCTACGGAAAGGACTCCTAATGTTTTGGCAAGATCGAAACCAAGTTATGGTTAACTTTTTAAAGATGTGAATCATGCAATCAGCCTTGGTTATATTATGGCTTTGAAGTTATTCCACTCAAGGGAAGAAAGCAACATATTGTTCAATGGCAAACAAAATCTCAGGGCAAAAACAGAAGTTAGAGAGGTCCAGAAGAAGTTTCTATGAGTTGTTACAGCATGTTCTTAATTTGGTAACAATTATCATCAAAACAGGTGATGATCTTGAATTCGGATATCTGCAAAGGTACTCATGGAAAGACCTTAATAGTGTGATAGAATGTTTTGAATTTTATTTTCTGCTAAAAGAAGATATGTGGTAGGAAATTCTTAGATCCAGAATCCATTTTTTCATCAAAAGATGTTTTCAATATAAACTTAACTTTATAAGATAGATTTTGGAACCAGCTACGGACGAAGGATTGAGGATGCATTTTGAAAATAGAACATCACTAGCTCCCTTTTGTAAGAATTAAAAATAAAAATATTGAGCTTGTGGAAATTGATTTGAAATTCCTTCCTGAATTTCTGTCGACATAACTCTGTGAGACCGATTTTCTATTAAGGTGTTATTAAAACATTAAAGCAATTTTGAATATGTTTTCTCTGAAGAGTTATAGTTTCTTAGTGTAATTCAGATTAAGGAAGTTAACAATTTTCTCTGAAGAGTTATAGTTTCTTAGTGTAATTCAGATTAAGGAAGTTAACAAGCAGGAATGTTTCTTTGTCACATTAAAGTCCTTCAGTGTGGCTATACAGGTTGTTTGTCCAAAGTGTGGATGGCATTTAATATGGGAAATTGCTATTTAACTTCTAAGTTCTTGCTCAGTTACGACTGAGGCACAACAACATTAAGGCTAGAATATTGAAAACCTACACCCACCACCTACATGCACACTTGCAGCGAACAACGTGGGCCATTTTTATAACTGAACTTTTAGGCTTGTGGTCTCTACGGTCTCTGTTGGAACTATTCAACTTTGCTCCTATAGCATGAAAATGGCCTTAGATCAGAGATAAGCAAACAGGTATGACTGTGCTCCCAACAAACCTTTATTTCTGGACACTGAAATTTCAATTTCCTTTAATTGTCATGTGTCATAGAATTTTATCTTTTTTTGCTTGTTTCCCAACCATCTAAAAACCATCCTTGGCTTTCAGACCAGTATGCTGACTGCTGATCTGGGCCAGGAGGAATGGACAACCCAACATGCTATCCACATGGTTGGGGGTTGGTTTGTGGCCAGTGACCAGACATTTACTGAGCATCTACTATGTGCCAGATTCAGGCACCTTCTCTAAAAATGCCAGACAGTCTTGGGCTCCCCTGTGGTCAGATCATAGGAGCTCAGGCTGATCAGCATGCTCAAATGATCTGTTTGAGCATCTTTTAGGAGACTTGTAAATCATCAAGGTGGGCAGCGAATGAGGTGGGAGTGTGCGTGCACCTGTTCCCAGCAGGCTTCCCAGAAGAATTGGATGGGGGGGACTAGGAAAACAGGAGGCACCAGAAGGGAGCGAGGGGATCCCCAGGAAGGGGCTTACCTGGTGACACTGCCAGATAGAATCTTATGGACTTAGAGACAGAGTTGCTGGAAGTGTGGTAGATTCTACACCAGTAGTGTCCTGAGTCTTCCTCCTTCAGACCAGTCATGGTGACGATGAAGAGGCCGGTGCTAGGGTTGTCCCAGATTGAGAATCGAGAGGACTGAACCAGCCTGCGGGGACCAGAGCTGGTGACGAGCCTGGTGCACTTGAACGCTGACAGCTCCTTACACCAGCCCTTCCTCTCGTAGGGCCAGCCTTTGGGGGGGTACTGGCATGTCACAGAAAGCGTCTGCCCTGCCACTCGGTGAAGATGCTGAGCTTCTGGTAGTGCCCATGAGCCTGGAGAGCGGGCTGCAGGTCAGGGCCACACCAGCACCAGCTCCATAAGCTGTCCCATGGCCCAAAGCACTTGCTCCATGGCCCGCTGTCCCAGATGTCCCTATAGCACCCTCTTCTCCTCCCCGAGCTTTTCCCTTCCTCCTCACCTGTGATCAGCAGTGGCAGCAACAGTGGCAGGAGCAAGGCTTTCCAGAGCCTCCCGCCCTTTCCATGTGGGCTGGCGGGAGAAGACATGGGGGCCCCTGGGGTGAGGAAACCGGGAGCTGGTCTGACTCTGCTCAGTTCTTCCAGCGCTTCTGAGATAGACAAAATGAGAAAGGCCAAGGCCAGGCTGGGAAGTGGGAGAGCTGGGAAGGGCTGACTGCAGGCAGAGGGAAGCTGGGACCTCCAGGGGCAGTTGCAAATCTGGACGTGGAGGCAATAGCCCTGCTTGGTGCATTGCTCCTGGGTCTCCGTAGCGGCTGCTCCTTTCCTCCGTGCCCAGCTACCCCTTCCCCATCAGGGCTGCCCTCAGCGGAGGAGCTGGGATGGCCAGGAGGAAGCTGTGGTCAAGTAATGGGCTTCCCACCTGCCTCTCTCTGTTCACTGCCTCTTCTTTGCAGAACCCTGGCTTTGCCCTCCTCTCCAGGGCAAGCCACACTGAGGGTAGGTGACAATCTCAGGGGAACTCAGAGGTCTGAGCAAAAACCCTAGACTCCACTGGTCCTGAGAGTGGTCAGAAACCTCATGCGCAGTCCTGCCTGGTGAGTCAGTGACATGTTTCCACCCTGGGAGGTTTTATGGGTGCTGGAGGGGAGAGGAGAGTAGGCGGAGTTTCAGTGCCAGTAAGAGTGCAGGGAGGGTCCCTGCAAAGGAGGGCAGAATGAGACTGGGAGCAAAGAGAGCCCGGTTGGTGGCAGGGACAGGTCAACGGGAGGAGGGTGGAGCACCAATCATATCTAAATCCTCAACTCCTGCCCCCTGTGGGCACTAGAGCGCTGGTTGCGTAATTGCTACACAGAAGCAGGACTCTGCATCTTTCTTTAGTGAATGTTGGCACTTTAAAAAATTATGCACTTTACAGGGGCACCTGAGTGGCTCAGTGGGTTAAAGCCTCTGCCTTCAACTCGGGTCATGATCCCGGGGTCCTGGGATCGAGCCCCACGTTGGGCTCTCTGGGCAGCGGGGAGCCTGCTTCCCCTTCTCTCTCTCTCTGCCTGCCTCTCTGCCTACTTGTGATCTCTGTCTGTCAAATAAATAAATAAAATCTTTAAAAAAAAATTATGCACTTTACAAAGAGATTTTCTATAAAACAACAGAAGGTGGGTGTTGGGGAGTCAGGGCACCTTGCCCTGAGCTAACATGTAAGTCCTTCCGTGGCCACCCGGGGCTCTGCTGGTCTAGCAGCTGCTGCCTGGAGCCCCCCAAGAGCTCATGACTGAAGAGGGTATTGGTTGCAAGTCCCCTGTTGCCACCCCCACCACCCCTCCCGAGCCCCTGACTCCTGCTCCCCACTCTGTCTGGGTGCAGAGCCCTGCTCCTTGGAGTGGAAGTGAGCAGAGACTGAGGATAAGGGCAAAAGGACAGACAAGAAGAGGAGGGACACAGGAGGGCCATGGGCTCTCTTGCCTAGAGACCCCTGGGAAGAAGCAGGATGGACTTGTGGAGTCAGAAGGGAAGCTCGGGCCGATGCCTGCTACGCAGCTGCATGAGTCGTTTACCCAGTGTGTTTGTGTGTGCTCTCTCTCCTAACGCCACGGTGGGGTTTGGGAGGGAGCTGTTTTTGTTTTGTTTGTTTTGTTTTGTTTTTCCTCCCACACAGGGGAACTGAGGCCCAGATCTGTCCATGACCTGCTCAAAGTCATGTGGTGATGTGAAGATATAACCAGACCAGCTTCCTGACTTCTGATGGGGCCTTTCTGCTGAGGCCTGGCCCACGATCAGGGCAGGAAACCAAACCACACGTGCTTGCAGAGGTGAACTCCTGGCAGTTTGTTTCCTGGCCTTGGGCTGGGCTCTGTGTTTCCTCTCTGAACCTAACTACAGACAAAATGCTGAGGTGGGGGGCACCCTTCTGAGGGGGAGGGCTCTGGCCCCGACTGGTTGTAGCTGTGTATCCCTTGTGTGAGGGTGTGCAGCAACTGCTTCCCTCAGCAATATCCCCTTTGTCTGGTTGCTGCTGACCACTGAGAAAGGACGCCTCCTCCCTGTAGCCCGCCAAGATCACTCTTTGTCCACATTTCACTATCTCTATGTCCCTCCAGCTTGGGGTTGGCGGAGTTGTTCTCTGCTGAGTCAGCATGGGTCCATGGTGCCCAGGCGACAGGAAGTTTTTGAGCAAACCCTTATACCTTTAAAAGTCTGAGTTTCCTCTTTTCTTAAATAGATAATGATGGCTCACTAATATGATTATTCTGGGAATAACTGAGTAAACACTTCCAAACATTTATAGAAGTGCTGGTTACATGGTGACTCTTCAATGAATTTGTCATCAAGAACCAACATATGTGCTTGACTTTTAATTATATATGTAGACATGAAATAGGAGTGCAGCAAACTTCTAAAAGTAAATAAAAATAAATGTTTTGTCCTTTAGAGCAGAACTTTCTAATCATGGTCCTGGTGCCAGGGATTCTATAGGGAAAAATGATCGGTCATTCTATATACAGATTAATACTTGGACATGATAAAAAGATATGACAAACAACATTTAAAAACAAATCATAGCTATGAATTAAGGTTTCCTTCCTATTTGGCAGATAAAAGATTATTTGATTTCATATAAAAAGACAAGTCATATAAAAAAGACAGAAAATGAGTATTTCAGTAGGAAAAAGAGGGTGAAGTTATGAGTAGGTAATTTTCTGCAGAAGAAATACAGATGAATAATGTTCAGGAAAACATATCCAAACTGGTTATTTAACAGAAATGGAGACAGGAAGTCTAACATCAAGGTGTTGTTAGGACACTCCCTCCAGAGGTTCTAGGGAGGGATCCTTCCTTGTTTCTTTCAGCTGCTGCTGGCTGTGGTCCCATCATTCCCATCTCTGCCTCTGCAGTCACATTACATGCTCTGTACAAGAGTCCGTCTAATTGCCTCAGCCTCTCTTTCCTATAAGGAGGCAGGTGACTGCACTCAGGACCCACAAGAGAATCCAGGATAAAGACCATCTCTCAAGACCCCTAATTTAATCACACATTTTGCCATATAGAAGAACAATACTCACAGGTTCTGGGGACTAAGAAGTACTATCTTTGGGGGTCATCTCTTCTGCCTTCCAGAAATGAAATTCTCTCCCTGCCCCCCCCTCTCTTTTTTTTTAGAGTGAGTTAGAACTAGGTCAAGATTTAAAATCATCAGCTGACGACTAACCATGGACGATACTTGTATGGGTGTTAGAAAACCCACCTACAAATCAGCCTAGGTGCTGATTTAGGCAGACGACACTCAGCAAATCTGAACTATTACGAAGAAGCAAAAAGATGAAATGCTTCCAAGATTAAGTTTAGATTCTTGTAAAAGCTTGATCCAAAAAAAAAAAAAAAAGCCAAAATTGGAAAAAAAAAGTGTATATAGCAAATTAAAGACAGGAGCATATAGAAAGAATAATATATCATGACTAAATCACGTGACTACAAATGTGTTTGGCTGTCGAAGTTAGGTCAATGCTGGGTTCTATTTCAGAAAGTCAAAGGAGAAAATTATATGAAGATATTAATCGATTGCAGAAAGGCATTGGTAAAATTCAACATCCATCCTAGACAAATATTTTACTAATCTATAAATAAGAAATTGCTTTCCTAATAAATAAACGGTTTAGTGAATTAATCAGCTAACATCGCACTAGTGAGGAGTCATGTTAAAGGCTGGGATCAAGAAAAAAACGCTCAATGTCTAAAGTATTGTTGAACATGTATCTGGAAGTATCCGCGAATGCAATTACACGGGAGAATAAAATTGGACACATAAACTTAAAATAATAGGCCAAATTACCATGATTTTCTGGTTGTATAGTTGTCCACTTGAAAAACTCAAGGATATTAGCTGAAACCCCATACAACAAAAGGAGAGTCGTCAAAGATAGAACAGAGCCAGGCAGCAGTTAAAATGGCAAAAAGAGATTTTATTGAGGAACTACAACATTTGGGAAAGAGAGACGTCAGTACGGAACTGGGTTCAATTTGGAGTACAGCACAGGCCAGTGGGGATATACAGCCTGGAAGCAGGCGGGGGTCCAGAGATGGAAAATTAGTGAGAGGAAACATCAGGAGTGAGGGGGAAGCGTTCTGGCTAAACCGACTCCACAATAGGATTCTTCGCTTAAGGACAGGCTGGGGTTACCAGACACCCCGGCTGGTGCGTAGGATGAGGAACTCCATGGGATATTGTAAGGCAGATGTGCTAACCACTACACCATGGAACCTGAGGGCCTCCATGGGATATTGATATCCATGTCTTCACCTACAAGGTGAGCTGCACCTGCTGTCCCTGGGCCCTGGAGGACCGAGAATTCGTGCTCAGCTCTAGAAGGAGCACAGAGCTGTGGAGAGAGCAGGGTTCTCCCTAAAACTGGTCTTTATAAGGAAGTGCACTGATGGGCTTAAGAGAAGGTTCAGGAGCTTGACCAAGGTTTGGTCAAGCAAGGACTCCTTTCTCAGAGTTTGTTCATTCATTCACGCTATGTTCAACAAATATTTACTAAGAGCCTACCATTCCAGACACAAGGAAGAGATCGAGACAGTATGCCGTCATGCGGCTTACATTCAGAGAAGGGTTTTTGGCAGCCTGAGGGGGAAAAGAAGGAAGACAGGAGGGGAAGCTTGACCTGGTAGGAAGCTAAACACAACAGAACGATGGCCGCTCATTCTGCCAGCACCAGAGTAGTCTTAATGGTTTCACTGATGGGAGACTGGCATGCTTGTTAGCGTCAAAGTAAGGGCAGGTTCGTGTCTTTAAATGATGGCTCAGAGTGTCCCCCGACATGTGTTTAAAACATTATCATGGTCAAGATGGGGAAAAAATAGAAAAATTCTGTAATTGAGGGAAAAAACCCTCAAAGTACTTGTATTTTCCTCTATTGTAGAATATTGTAAAACTTTGATAAACATGACCTTTGAATCAATGGTACTAGATTTTCGTGCCTCTTCCCAAATTTGTGTCAGACTGGAAAGTTATAAAAGGCTTTCAAATACATGGTTTCCTTTGTCACCAAACCCTCCAGGCCTTTTCCAGTTTCTGGAATCCTCGCCTCTTC